GAAACATTGGAGAGTTTTAAACAGGTGTGCTGGGACCTAGTTTCTTCTTCTTTTTTAAAGGGGGRGGAGGGAAAGAGGGAAGTTTTTTTTAATATTTATTTTTTAGTTTTCAGCAGACACAACAGCTTTGTTTGTATGTGGTGCTGAGGATCGAACCCGGGCCGCACGCATGCCAGGCGAACGCACTACCGCTTGAGCCACATCCCTAGCCCCATTTATTCTTAAAAGATCCATCTGGCTGCAGTCACACAGGGAAATTTCAGAGGGATCAGGATGATCAACTATTAACAATACAGGCAATATATGTATGACAACCACTTAGGGGTGGTGTGGCAGGAGGTATGAAATGTATATATTTGTGTTTACTAAAACATAAAAAGTTTTCCATTATATGACAGATGGAATTGTTCATCTGCTCCCTCTCAAAATGCCAACAAAATAGTAAAACAATTTATACAGGCAGAAATCACAAAGAAAGAAAGGGTACCACAGTAAATGAATGTCAAAAAAACTTTAAGACTGAAAAAAAAAATGCAACACAAAATAAACAAAAGTAATGCACTTCATCCAGAGGAACTCTGAACTAGCTCAGGATTTTGAACTTACGAGTCCCCTAGAAATGTAATGGTGAGTTTTAAGGTTCACAATAAGGACCAACTGAAACTCTTTACATAAATCTGTTAAAACCTTTATCCCACAGGAACAAAAAGATGAGAGACAAGAAACTGAGCAAAAGATCTGCATTCAGGAACTCAACTCACAGAAGTTAAGAGGTAAAATACTATTCAGAAAATAGATGCCCTCTGTCATGTACCTGAGGCACTTCTCTCTAGAGAAAATGAATGGCCTAGGAAAGAAGAACTATAGATAATAAAACCAACTACAATCTTACTGAAAATCACATTAGTAACAAATATCAAGTCTTTAACATGAATCAGTAATTTTAGAGATTTATCACAAGAAATAATCCTACATGGGCAAGCAAGTTAATTAAAGAGATGTTCCCTGAAATGCTGTTTATAATACTAAAGCAATGGAATCACAAAAAAGAAAAAGAGTAATTAAGTAAACTGTCATATATCTATACATTAAAAAAGAAACAATGACATAGTAAAAAAGCTCATATTATATGAAAGGGATATAAAATAAATAGAGCCAATATCCAGGGCTGTCTTTTTGCTCATATAGCCTTTTCCCCTATAATTAAAATAGATTACTTGCCAGTCAATAAAAATGGCTAAAGATTACAGTTCCTGAAATACCTGTATAAATCCTGAAAAATTTTAGAAAGATTTCAAAAATATTTATTCAGAAATTAGTAACATTTCTTTCTTTTAAAAAATCCATAGCTCCATCTTACTTATAATATTATTTCTAAAATTAATCCATTATCAGTTCTCCATATCCTTACCACACTATCTTTGAATAACATATCATGTGATAAATAACCAAAAATGTGGTCTCTTAAAATATTAAGTATGAAGGCAAAACAGTGAATAAAGAGAAATTAGTCAAAATTATAAACATGAATATTAGAAATAAATATCAAAATCTGTGCAAGTAGAAAAGGAACTACATTACTAAATGTGGGTATACATAAGAATTAAGTATGACAGTGGCATTTAACAAAAATAGAAAGTTATCACTCAGTGAGTAAGATTTTGTAGGAAAAAATGCACCCATACTGTAAGTTTATACACTTATATGGCAAATTTAAAGAGACAGAACCTGGTTTTGCTCAGTGGTAGAGCACCTGCTTAGCATGCATGAGACCCTGAGTTTGATCCCTAGCACTGTGTGTGAGTGCACTCGAACACGCGTACATGCATACACACATTCCCTTTGACCCACCTGTACAGTACTCTACTGAGAATGAGTCCTGCATATATACAGTTATGTAAACCAGTATTACCAGTATTTTCTCTGCTGTCCTACCTACAATACACAAAACAGTGTAATAATAAATGCAAATAACTTGAGGGCAATCTTACATCATTGGAAAAGGGGCAAGCTTAAACAATATTCGTGCAATGAGTACTGTGMAGATATTTTCTTCCATAACAAGTTAAATTATTTTATGTAACACTTTCAATGGTAAAATGATTTATATAGCAATCCATGAGGGGCAGGGATTTTGGCTTAGTGGCAGAGCGCTTGCCTAGAACATGTGAAACACTAGGTTCAGCACCACATAAAAAAGAACAAATAAAATAAACGTATGCTGTCTACTTATAACTACAAAAAAAATATTTTTTTAAGTTACCATATAGCAGTCAATGAAAAAGATCTTATAAATATAAATGAAATTTACTGGGTCCATTCTAACAGTTATCTGCTTACTTTTTATTTTTTACCAAAGTAAAAAGTTTCAAAAATCATGACTACTGATTTCCAAAAAATGTTTAAATTTCCAAATATTTTCATTCATTACAAATGCTTTAATAGTGACTTCCTTAAGAAATATTAAATAGCCAATTCATAAATGGATACTTTCAAATTTATGTACCTTTTTCAAAAAAAAAAATAATGACACCCAGTCAATTGCACTTCATGTTCAAACGTGCATGAGAACTGTCAACTCTGTGGTATCACAGCTGATAGGAAAAATATAAATCTTCACCTCTGTCTCAATTTCAAAAGCAATGTCAACTGCTTAGTACAAAGAATGTCTAAATTACCTCAAATCATTTTCAGGTCTCCTAACAACAGAATCCCTAATTTCTAAATTATGATTTACAAAAAGTTCTGCTGAATTAATTCCAAGTTTATGTAAGAAAGTTCATTTCTCTACTTGTAAAAACGAAGTTGAACATAATTAAGCTAGTTTCTTTATAATACAATAAAATCCAGTCATTCCAAATAACAAAAATTCCTACAACGCTTTCTTTCATGACAGTTATTATCTCTGAGGAGAATGGAATCAGAGTTAGAAAAATATGGCTTTAGCTTTTGCTGTAGTCTTACACTGCAGCAAAATAGGAAGTAAAAAATTTCTTTTTGATTAAGTACAATGACTCCTGAGACAGATTCCCTGGGTCCTAATAATTTACTTTCTGTGAMGGTGAGTAAGCTACTTTATCTCCTTCTACCTCAGTTCCATGTTTATGAATTGTGGATAATATTCTATCCTGCTACATAGGAGTAAATGAGCCGACTATGTTAAATGGCTAGAACAGTATGCCTAACACATGGTAAATGTTATTGTTGTTATTATCAGTCTCACCATCTATGAATATTAACTATGCAATCTGGCTGGAATGAATTGGGAAAAGAGTGAGTTGTTGGGGGAGGTGGTATTTGCCATATTTTCTACACTTTAAGACATAAATTTCATTATTTATTTATTTGGTACCACGCATTGAGCCCAGGGATGCTTAACCACTGAACTACATATCCCAGCCCTTTTTCATATTTTATTTAGAGAAGGGTCTTTGTTAAGTTTTTAGGGCCTTGCTAAATTGCTGAGGCTGGCTTGAACTTATGATCCTCCTTCCTCAGCCTCCCAAGCAACTGCATAAATTCCATTTTTGAAACCAGTGATAAATGGCCAACATCTTAAGTGAGAAAGCAGTACAAAGGAGAATAATAACAAAGTTTTAGTCTTCCCTTCAATTTTCAAAAACATGAGACAATACAAGCTTTGGAGTTTGATATTTATTTTTAGCAGGAAGAATACGCTAATGGTGAAGACATCATTAGAAGATAACGCCCATGTCCAATATCTGCAACAGAAGCTCAATAGAAGTTAAAGAAATGTTACCAAAAGACTAAAGATAAAAACTGTATATTACTTACCCTTAATTCTGCAGACAATAAAACAAGTAACAATATATTTAAAAGTGAATTTCTACCACAAATCAAAGACTAACAATTATCAAATTCATCATTTTCAAAATTCCATCTTTTCCTTTCCATGTAGAAGTGAGCAACTTTTTCAAGGGCAAATCACAGTGCTAATAATCCACTGTGTTTTATGTGAACAGAAGAGGAGCAAATTTGAAGAGACTGTGCTAAACTAAAAGCTAAGAGTTTTGGGTGGAAGCAATCAAGTAGCTTTCTCATGGGTAACAAATGGCAAGCCAGTCTAAGCACCTTTTGGGCCCAATTAGAGATTGCTAAACTAAGAAATAAATTAAAATAAGTAAAAGCAACCTAACAGAGGCAGTATCATGCCGTACCTATAAATTTACAGTAAATTACCTGCAAATAAGGGGACTCAAACAAATTAGAAATTCTCTTACATATTAGCATAAGAAACTGGTACATCAGTAAACAATTTAACAACTAGTCAACTGGAGGATTTAAATTAAACTAAATCTAGCTCATCTATCCCTGACAATGCCTCAAAGGAAATATGAAAATATTTCTTTTTATCACCTCCTGCACCCCAAATCTTCTCATCAACAGTACCAATCACTATTTAAAAGAGCAATAACTTTCTAACTAACAGTGTTTGCGGGCCAGAAGGGTGTGAATATGTTAAGCATCAGAATCAGAGGTGGAAAAAAGAGGTAATTTCTTTTTAAAATTTGAAACAGCTCATGTTGCCCAGTCTGGTCTTGAATTCTTGGCCTCAAAGAGATGGATTAATTTGAAGACTGTATGGTATAGCTGAAAGACTGTATGTGCTCAGAATAGGGACTGAACAAATCTAATCCAATTTATTGCAAATATAGGCTTCATGCCTACTGTTATTTTTCTATTGTTTTTGTGCTTGAAAATAAKGATTTAAGTTGATAAACTTCTACTATCGCAATGGAATTTCACAAAAATAATTTTTCAAGTGCAATCCTGCTAATTCTAAATTTCAAAGTTTACTTAAACAGGTTGATTTGGTTAAAGTAGAAGGAAATCCATTGATGTTGAGGAAGTTACTTGGGCCACTGCCTAAAAAGGTCTATTTCCCAAAAATGCATGGTGTGCAAGAACTGAGATATGTTAAAATTCCTGCCCCAAAGTAAATGAAACAAATAAGCACTAAAAAGAAAAAAGTTACGCACTTCCAATTTATGCTCTTTCTCTGCAAGGGCTTCTTTTTGACAACGAAGAAAATCTGCTAACATTCGAGTGAGTTGCTTCCTATCATCTATTTCTGCCGCCAATCTGCCATTGTAATCTGCCAGCAACATACAAGCATCCTCTACCATTTTAGAAAGCCTTTCTCCAGATTCTTTATCTGTTATTTTATCTAGCAGGGATACTTCTTGGACTTCGACAGGCAAAGAAGCTATCCTCTGATGAACTGCTGCATCACCTGAAGCTGCATTTTCTAGATCTTGTAAGGCTCTAACGAGATCTAGAGTCTAAAAAGTTGCATAACTTCAGAACCAAAATAAATAAAGCTTAATTTTGTTTTTGGTTTTTTTTTTAGTTGTAGTTGGACACAATACCTTTTTTTTAAAATTTATTTTTATGTGGTGCTGAGGATTGAACCCAGCATCTCACACATGCTAGGTGAGTGCTGTGCTGCTGAGCCACAACCCCAGCTCAAAGCTTAAATTAATAATGACTTGAATCTTTTTTTCATATCCCTAATCCTTATGAGTTACCTACTAACACAAAGTTTCCAATACAAACTGCTTCCACAGACAATCCCATTTCTTTTATATACTAAGAAGCTACTGAAAATGTAAATGAGATAACGCCCTAGACCTTGAGGAGCTCACACTCTAGTAGTGAAGGCAGATGGTATAAAAATATTTATGAGTTTCAGACAAATGAGGTAAATGACTGATTTATATATATGGCAGATATCTATCTCCGTGGTAAATGGGAAAGTAGGCTATAATTTCAGCCAAAAGAATACAAGTTTTATGTATAATATATGCATTATATTATCATTGCACATTATATTATCACTGTAAAATTACTGAATTTTAAATTAAATTGGTTATTGCGGAAAGGGGGACACCAATCATCTAATACAATATAGAAGAGTTTCTCAAATTCTATTTCTAAATGCTGTAAGTAAAACATAAAAGAAATGTAGTTTTGGTATTATGTTCAAATATGATATCTTTTTTTAAATATTTATTTTTTAGTTATAGATGGACACATATCTTTATTTTATTTTTATGTGGTGCTGAGGATCGAACTCAGTGCCTCATGCATGCTACGTGAGCACTCTACTTCTGAGCCACAATCCCAGCCACAAATATGATATCTTCAACTATCCTATGGTTTGTTAATCAGACTATTAAAGTATTTAAAAAATTCCATGCATCTAATGACTAATATGTCCATGCTGATTAGCCAGGAAACAAATGATTTTATCACCTTTAGTAATACTATTTTTATACAACTATAATCAGGAGAAAAGGACAATTAAAATATTTTCATACTAGTTAAAAATAGAAGGAAAGGGTGATTCTTTGTTATTGGAGTTACTATTCATAATATAACTTACTCCAAAGAAAAATAATTAAGTTTTATTTTTACTAGTCTCTATCCCCATCCCATCTTTTCTTTTTTTTTTTCTTTTTTAGTTTTTAAGACTAGATTCAGAGACACTAAAACATTACATATACTTTTAAAATACTGCCTTTACTTTTTTTTTTTTGGTACTGAGGATTGAACTCAGGAGCACTCAACCACTGAGCCACATCCCCAGCTCTATTTTGTATTTTATTTAGAGACAGGGTCTCACTGAGTTGCTTAGCACCTCGCTTTTGCTGAGGCTGGCTTTGAACTTGCAATCCTTCTACCTCAGCCTCCCAAACTATTGGGATTACAGGCGTGTGCCACAGTGCCTCGCCTAATTCTGTCTTTATCAGGATCACATTTAGTCTCAGCTACTCAAAGAGACTGAGGAAGGAGGATTGCTTGAGCCTAGGAGTTCAGAATCAGTTTGAGCAACATAGAAAGACTCTTTACTTGAAAAAATAAAAATAAAAAATGACATTGACAGCAAGTTACTAATGTTTATTAGCTATTCTAATTTAAAAGCTATCACTGAGGTTTAGCACACAGAAAATAAAAATATTGGGC